GACATTGATCTTTGCATTGTCCTTGCCAGACAGCAGAGTGAACAGAGTGTTGAACTTGAAAACCAAGGCTCTGACACTTACTAATTGCGTGACCTTGGACAAGTCACCTAATCTTTCTCTGCCTCATTCAGTTTCTTCATCTGTAAAATGTGGATAATAGTAATATATCTCACAGAGTTGTTGGGAGGATCATATGAGGTAATATATACATAAAGTGCTTTTAAAAACCTTAAGATGCTATTAAATATTAGCCGTTATTATGGATTCTTCTAAGAGTATGGTATTTGAGGATTCACAGTTGCTGAAAGAATACTCAGTACTCAAGCCTTTGATAGAAAGACCCCAAGGTCACCTTCTTGTCTTGATGAAGCATCTGAGTAAGACTTTGTGGAGAACACCAAGAATACTGATATTGAAAATATGGTCTTTTGGAGTAGAGAGGAGCTTGGGACTGTCAAAAATTCTACAGGACTTCCCAACAGTGATCTAGCCTGCTCGTTTCCTTCTGGTCAGTTCTTTGTCCTGTCTATGGGTAATTCAAGTCTAGGATAAATGTACTTGGTAGATTTTCTCAGTGGGCTACTCAGCTAACCACACATTGTTATCAGAGCAATAGGTGTTGTTCGTCTGCTTTTCTTTTTTTCTGTTTGGATGGCTAAGTTGATGTTTTTTCAAGTGACCATGGATTTTAATGAGGAGTGTTCTAAAGCTTACTGCAATCAGCTGAATCTCATCTGGGCATTCATTCGTTTAATTCATTTACTCATTCATTTAGTAAAAATGTCATTCATTTATTCATTCATACATTTAATAAACATTAATTAAGTGCCTACTATGTTCCAGGTACAATGTTAAGTGCTGGGGATACAAAAAGAGGCAAAAGACAGTCCCTGCCCTCAAGAAGCTTAAAATCTAATGGAGAAGACAACATGCAAACAAATGTATGCAAAGATTACAAGATAGATTTACAGGCATCTGGAGAACTTTACCATCTATGAGAAATTCCCTCCTGTAATGGGTCTCCATGAAAGATATCCTCCATCACCTTGTGCCCTCCTTGAAGTGCATACTCAGTGGATCATGGACCAGATTAACTCCCATAGTCACCGCCTGCCATTTAACTCTGTATGGGAAGCCCTTTATTGAAGGCAAGCTTTGAGTAAAATCAATAAAGCATAGACAGAGTAGAAGAGAAGCCTGGAGTTTAGGGGTAGGGGGAAGCAGAGCGTGAGAGTTTTTTCAAATATTGGAAGGGCCTCCACATTGAAAAGAGATTAGACTTGCTCTGTTTAATAATAAATGGTAACTAGCATTTATCTAGCGATTTATGGTCTGCAAAGCACTTTATCCATTGTGTCATTATAACCTCACAATGCCATTAGGAGGCAGGTGCTACTATTATCCCCATTTTACAGATGAGGAAACTGAGGCAGGCAGCATGTATGTGACTTGCTCAGAATCACACAGCTAGTAAAGGTCAGAGGCCAGATTTTAACTCAGGTCTTCCTGACTCTACTGGACCTCCTAGTTCGGTCCCAGAAGGGAAAACTAGAGCCAGTGGGGGGGGGGGTAACAGGGAGGTAGATTTAGTATCAATGTTAGGGAAAACCTCCTAACAGAGTTTCCCCAAAATGGTCTAATCTACAGGAGGAGGTATTGGGCACCCCCTCATGTACCTGGGCACTTAGATGACCCCTTGTCTCGGACGTGGCAGAGAAGATTCCCATCTGAGAGGATGAGAGGGAATGTTGCATAACAAATAGATAGACAACCAGACTTGGAGTCAGACAGAGTGGGCATAGATTTAGCCCGACACTTCCGAGGGACGACAGGAAAGTTTCTTAATCATCTTCCTGAGCCTCAGTGTCTTCATTTGTAAAATAGAAGCCTACCTTTATAGGGTTATTATGAACAAATAAAATAATGTGTGCAAAAGGCTGTGTAAACCTTAATGCAAGCTGATGTGGTCTACGAGGCCCTTTCCAACCCTGGGATTCTGACACTTTTTAAATGAATTTCTTTCCAGGAGTAAAAATCAACTCCCTCACCTCATACCCCCTCACCACTGAAAAAGAAAAAAGAAAAACAAAATTCTTGTAATAACTCTGACTAGTGAAGCAAAATAAATTCCTGCCTTGGTGCTGTCCCAAAACCCCTATGTCTCATGTGGAGCCGGGACTCTGTGGAATCTGTGAATCCTTCCCCCCTCTCCATCCATCGGGTGCCCGGGAAGATGGGGCCGCTCTGTCTGAACGAGCGTGGCTGCTCTTTTTCATGTCCTCCTCATACCCGGAAGAGCAGACAGAGAAGCCAGCTCCCCAGCTTCTGAAGGATGGCTGAGAACTGACCCACCAGCTGGCCTGGACGGAAGCTTGGAGCAGAACGAGGAAGAGAAAGCAGATTTCTCAGGAAATCGGGAGAGGAAGATGTGAGCTATTCAAGGCTGACTTTAGGGAACTGAGTGGAGAAGACAAAGATTCCTGCGTAAAGCTTATCTCCTGCAGCAGACAAAGTGGCCCTCTGTAACTGGATGGGTGCCTCCAGAGGAAGAGGAAGGGCTTCAGGCCCAAGTCACAGTCCAGAAAGAAGTCCTTGCCCACCAGCTTTTGGCAGCAAGAGTAGTTACCAAGAAAGGCAAGGTGGGCTCCTTTCTTGGGTCTGGGTCTATTCCCCTCTAACTGTGCCTTCTGGAAGGACCACAACCCCCTCTAAGGAGGGAGGGAAGGACAAAGCCAGAGCAGAAAGGACAGCACCATAATGTGGGTATAAGAGGGGTGTTCTCTGGGGAGAGCGTTCCCTCAGTTTGAGGTGTTTTATACCAACTGTTCTTGCTCTAACAACTTAATAAATAAACATTTTTAGTCTCTAAATTTTTATTTTATTTTTAACTTATTGAATAAAAACAAGCATTTCCATAACATAATATAATACTAATTTAAAAAAAAAAAGACTACACACGAAACTGCCAATCAACTATGTACAACTTGCTATTCCATTTCTTTTTTTTTTTTTTTGGCTTAGGCAATCAGGGTTCAGTGACTTGCCCAGGGTCACACAGCTAGTAAATGTCAAGTGTCTGAGGTCAAATCTGAACTCAGGTCCTCCTGACTCCAAGGCTGGAGCTCCATCTATTGCACTGCCTCTGGCAGGTTGGGTCCCCCAAGGCATAGCAAACTCTTTTCTTCCTTCAGGGTTCTAGAGGACCCTGAGGGGCCAAGACATGGTTTTCTAATACTCTGGAACCCCCACCAGTGTGTTACCCTCCCACTGGTTATCAGGTTGATATCAGTTAGGCAGCAAAGCTTAACTAGCTTTTAGAAATGGAATAGCACTAACCCTTTGCTATGCTTTGGGGACCCAATCTGCCAGAGGGAGTGGAGGGTGGGAGAGCACCCCAGGCCCTGGGCTGCGCTGGTATTGGGCCTCCTACTGTTCTATGTATCCAGGGAAGTCAGCAGGAAGGAGGCCCGCTTGGATGCAGCAGCTGCAGCCAGCCATCTATAGTGGAGGGGATCTGGTCGTCGTGCATCTCATCCATAGCCACCAGGTCTGGGGGGTGGCATCCTCTGAGACTTTCAGGGACTTCTTCGATGAAAGTGGCAGGATCAGAGATTTAGGGCAGGAAGAGGCTCCTCAGGGGCCAGTCTAATTCCCAAGTCTCATGGATGACAAGTGATTTGTCCAAGGCCAAGTAGGTAAAAAATATCTGAGGCAGGATTTGAACCCAGATCCTTGACTTCAGAGCCAATGATTTCCGTTGCACCAAATGTTAGCAGCCTTGCCCACCTCAGGCCAAACCAGTAGCAATTGCCAGCTTCCCTTTCTCCTCTTCCTCCTCCTCCTCCTCTTCCTTTTCCTCTAGTGCCTAGCTCGTAGAAAATGCTTCATAAATGTTCATTCATTCATTCATTCATTCCTCCATCTCGTCCACTTCTCCCAGCTGATATCTTCACTTACTCCTCAGAAAGACCATCCCAGGACATGTGGGATTCATGCGTCCTCCTGGCTACACCCCACCTCCCCATCCCCCCACGCACACTGCCTTCTTCACCTCCTCCTGCTCTTCCTCCCCCTGCCACTGGAAGAAGTCTGGGAACATTAGGGGAGGTGGGTCTGGGCACTGATCCTTCCTGCCCTGATTAAAGTGTGTGGGGCCTCACTCCGGCCACGTGGGCCGGAGGGGAGCAGGAAAGACTTAGAGGGGGCCCTCACCCCAGGGAAGGGGGTGGGGGTGGAGGTGGGGTTGAGGAGTAGGGAGGCTGCAATGAATCAAGCAGGCTTTAGCTAGAAGATTAGACAGAGAGCCGGGCAGAGACAAGAGCCTCCTTTGTGGAGGGAATGGGGATTACAGAATCAAGTGACTGGGGCTGGCAGTGGGGCCCAGCCCGGCCGGGGTTTGGTCGAGACTCAGCCCCCCGCCCCGAGTGGGGAGTGGGGATGAGGGGTAGGGGCGGCAACAGCAGCCGGTTCCCTGGGGAGTCGATCAGGGCACTGAGCAGCCAACACTCCCAGGCACCGGTAGAACGCGGACGTCCCGCCTGTGAGTATGGGGGGGAGAGAGTGGGAGTTGTTTTCTGGGAATAAAGGGGCGGCAGGGCTTGGTCAGTGAAGAGATGTGAACACCTGCCGGTGTACTCCCAACATGCTATGTGCGTACATGCACGAGCACATTACATACATGGACACACCTAGCCACATGCATGTCCCTGTAGAGTAGCGCATGCAACACACGTGCCCTTGTGTTTATTTGATCGGATAAGCTTTAGAAAGGCTGGGATTCGAAGGGACATATGTCAGGACAAGGGATGTGCGGCAGAATCTCTGGGTTCAGAGAGTTTCCCCAGCCAGGGGGGAAAGAGACAAAGGACAGGAAAACTCCCTACCTCGGGAGCAGAAGTGAGGAGGCAGGGGGATGTGATGGGAAGTATGGGATCCTGCCAGCCTCAGTGCTTCCTCTCAGCAACAAGTGCCTGGCTACATTCCCCCAGCTCTCGGGGAAACACCCCCAAAGGCCACTCATCTGTGCTCTGTTCCTGGTCATCCTGCCCCCTGCCTGTTTCTGTGGCCCCTTCTGCTGCTGCTGCCCGACATCCCACCCCTCGGCTTCTCCTCGCCCCAGGAGCTTCATGACTGTCACCTACACCAACCGGGTGGCAAACGTCCACCTGGGCACCTTCTCCAGGCTCCTGCTTCAGTGGAGAGGCAGCATCTACAAGCTTCTCTACTGCGAATTCTCCATCTTCATTCTCTGCTACTTCACTATCAGCATGATTTACAGGTGAGTCTGAAGGAGGGAAGCCATCAGAGGGGAGGTCAGAGCTGGGAGAGAGACCTGAGGACTGAGAATGTCTAGACTTGGAGGGATCTTAGAATAGAGAACCTCGAATGTCAGAGCTGGGAGAAACCTAGAATGCCAACCAGAAGAAATCTAAGAACATAGAACAATAGAGCTGGAAGGAACCTTTGATCATAGAAAGTAAAGGCTGGAAATGACCTGGGAATAAAGATTCTCAGAACTGGAAAGGATGTCAGAACACAGAATGTTAGGGCTTGGAGAAACCTTAGAACCTAGAACCTTGAATGTCAGAGCTGGGAGGAAGCTTAGAACCTAGAATGTCGAGCTAGGAGAAACCTTAGAACCTAGAATGTCAACTAGAAGAAATGAAGAACATAGAATATCAGAGCTGGAAGGAACTTTCGATCATAGAAAGTCAAGGCTAGAAGGGACCTGGGAATAAAGAATCTCAGAACTGGAAAGGATTTTAGAACACAGAACACAGAATGTCAGAGCTGGGAGAAACCTAGAACCTAGAATGTCAACTAGAAGAAATCTTAGAACATAGAACATCAGAGCTGGAAGGAACCTTTGATCATAGGAAGTCAAGGCTAGAAGAGACTTCAGAATAAAGAATCTCAGAATTGGAAAGGATTTCGGAACACAGAACACAGAACGTCAGGCCTTGGAGAAAACTTAGAACCTAGGACCTCGAATGTCAGAGCTGGAGGGACCTTCCAGCCCAGCCCCTGGGAAGCCATGACTGCATAAGGGCCTTTGGAAGCTCAGCTGGGAGGGATCTGCTGACTCTTCTAGCCCAGGGAAGAGGAAGGATGTTGACTTGCTTTTTCGGCAGTTTTTGATGGGTGTTTCCTGTGGGTCAGCAGCGCTTGAGTTACAAGAAGCCTGTCCTGATCCCCCTCCATTCTGTGGATTCCCCCTCCCCCACTGATCATCTCCAATTCCTCCGGTCTGTAATTTGTTTGCATGCTGTCTCCCTCCTTGGACTGTGAGCTCCTTGAGGGCAGGGACCCTCTTCATCACTTAGCATAGTACCTGGCTCAGTCCTTAAGAAGTGCTAGTTGTGAGGCAGCGAGGTGGCACAGTGGATAAGAGCATCAGCCCTGGAGTCAGGGGGACCTGAGTTCAAATGTGACCTCAGACACTTGACACTTACTAGCTGTGTGACCCTGGGCAAGTCACTTAACCCCATTGCCTAGCCCCACCTCCCAAAAAATGCTAGTTGACCTTCTTGCCCAAGGTTATGCAGCTAGTGTCTGAGGCAGGATTAGAACCCAGACCTTCCTGATCTTCCAGTGCCCTGTCTGCTCATTCTCATTGTCATGCTTCCCATGACCCCCTCCCTCTCTCCCTGTCTTTCTCAGACTGATCCTCAGTGACAGCCAGAGGCTGCTCTTTGAGAAGCTGGCCCTGTACTGTGATAAGTATGCCCAGCTCATCCCTGTATCCTTTGTGCTGGGTAAGTCCTGAAGGCATCTCCTACCGTCCCCTAGACCTCCTTTCCTGAGCCAGGGCTGGGCCACTGATGTACAGAATGAGCGGGGCTGGGGCTGGAAGGGCAGGGCCTGGGGCTTGTGAACCTCTCACCTCCTCCTGGAGCTTATCCCCTCTATCCTTCTGTCCCACATCCCCATTTTCCATCTTTCCTCATCCAATGGCCCTGTTCCTGCTGCCTATAAGCAGGCCCAGGTCTTCTTCTATTCCTGGGTAGGATGTATGTTCTGGCCCCTGTCTCTCAGGGCCGGCAAGTTCTATTGGCCTCTGCAGGCCCTAAGGCATTCTGAGGCAGGGGAGGGGGTGCATTCCCTACTGCCATCCACTCAAGTACCCACCACTCTGTGTCCACCATTGTTAGAGGCCAGTAACTAGCCTGGTTCTACTTAACCTCTTAATACCTGAAGCTTCTAGAGGGACGTTTACTTCAGAACACACGTACAAACATTTCTCAACACCGTGGAAGCTCTTCTCCCTAAAATCACCTCCTTTTCTGGGGGAAGAGCCTCCAAATTTAGCTCTGTTCCTACCTAACGTTGGTTTTTACCTAGCTCACGTTCAAAGGTAGTTCAGCTGGTAGATGAACCCAAGCCTCAGCTACTGCTAGGCTGTGGTTCCAGGGGTCACTCCCAGCCCAGCCTGGATCCCCACGGCCCACCCTCCCAACCTTTCACAGCTGCTGAGGTTGGCAGGGTCTCTCACCAGACACCAGGAGTGAATGAAGTCAAAAGAGGACGAAAACAAGCAGCTGGAGGTGACAGGCCTTTTAAAATTCCTGTGCTCGGGGAGGGGGAGAAAAATTTAAAACTCAAAAGCTTATGGAAGTGATTGTTGATAAATTAAAATAAATTAATAAAAAAAAAAAGAAAAATTCCTCCACAGCCAATCACACAGCCCCCTCTTCAATACATGGTTCGCTGACCAGAACCAGTTACAGAACATCTACACAGGCTCCAAGGCAGGGGTAGGGGACCTGCGGCCTCAAGGCCACATGTGGCCTTCTAGGTCCTTGGGTGTGGCTTTTTGACAGAGTCCCAGTTTTACAGAACAAATCCTTTCATGAAGGGGATCTGTTCTGTGGAGTTTGGATTCAGTCGGAGGATCGCACTCGAGGACCTAGAGGGCCGCTTGTGACCTCGGGGCCGCAGGCCCCCCACCCCTGCTCCCAGGTCTCTCCAAAACTCTTTCCAGGTTCTTCTCTTCGAGAGACGCCAGCCCAGATGCTTTGCAGACCTTCATTAGCCTCAGAAAAGCCTTTCCTCCCCTCAAGCTAGCCTCGGCTCTTCCGGTTCACAGCCAAAATCCTACAAAGAATTATCTAATGCTTGTCTCCATTTTCTCCTCTACCGTTCACTTCTCAGTCTCTTGGAATCTGGCTTCCAAACCCCGAGCCGCATTGGAGTCGCTGTCTCGGAGGCTCTTCATTTCTAGATCTGAGGAGCTTTCTGCAGCCCTCATTCCGTCTGCCCTCTCTGCACCTGCGGACAATCTACCAAGCCTCCCTCCTGCGCCCTGCCTCCTCCCAACCTCGCCTGATGCTGCTCCTTCTTGGCTCTCCCCTGTCTCTCCGCGCGCTCCTCCTCTGGAGCCGTGCCACACCCACTAGCTGTGAGCCTCCCCCAAGCCCTCTCCTCTTCTGCCTCACCGCCAGAGTCTGAACCTTTTTTTGTGTTGTGGATCCCTTGGGGAGTCTGGTGAAACCTAGGAATCCATTCACAGGAAAAGAAATTCGTAATATTTTATTTTTATTTTAATTAAAACAATTTCACAATTGGAAGAAATGTCAAATTTCAGTTAGAGGTTAGTGAAAATAAAGGGTTTTTTCCTGCCCATGTTCATGGACCCCTTGAAATCTCTCCACAAGCCGCTTGTGGGGATCTGCGGACCGCAGGTTAAGAAGCCTTGCTTTACTCTTTTTCCTGGTGATCTCAACTCCCGTGAGTTTAATTCTTATCTCTCCACAAAGCACTCCCAGATCCATCCCTCCTCTCTTGCACTCCTGTCTCACAGCGTCAGTCAGATACCTGCCCGGTAGTGCCACTTGGCTGTCCGTCTTCACCTCAAACTCAACAAACTGAAAACAGAGCTAATCATCTCTCCCCCTCCTTCCTTGACCGTCCTCCCTCCTCTGAACTTTCATATATTCTGTGATGGGACCTCCTCCCTCTCCCTCACCTCCGCTCGACCCCACATCTACTCATCTGCGAAGGCTCCTCGATTCTCCCTCCGTGAGGTCGTCGGAACTCCTCAGAAACCAAGGATGAACAATATTCTTCTCCCTGCTCAGATCCTCTCTCCTACAGCATCCCAATTGGTTTTCTACCTCTCTGATCCATCCCCCACACAGCTGCTGAAAGTCATCCTAAAGCACAGTTCTGATCACAGTCACACCCTGCTCTAGAATCCTCTTGGGCTCCCTATTGTACCTAGGGAATAGTGCAATTCTTCATGTAGGCATTTAAAGCTCTCCCCAGTCTGGCTCCCACCTCTCTTTCCAGACTTACTCCGTGCTATTCTTGAGCTCTGCATTCCAAGCAAACTGGTTTGATAACTTTTCCCTTCTCCTCAAAATGCCATCCCTATGTTTTTGCACAGACTGTGACCCATACCATGAATGCCCTTCCTCCTCGCATCTGCCTCCCAGAATCTTTGGCTTCATTCAAGGCTCACCTCACTCTTATGGGCAATAAAGGGAGGGAATAAGCATTTATATAGCGTCTACTAAGTGCCAAGTGCTTTGTACAAAAATCATGTTGAGATTCACAACAATCTTACAAGGTTGGTGCTGTTATTATTCCCTTCTTACAGTTGAGGAAACTGAGGCGAACAGAGGTGAAGTGACCTGCCCAGGGTCACACAGCTAGTAAGTGTCTGAGGCTGGATTGGAACACAGATCTTCCTGACTCCAAGCCCAGAGCATTTTCCACTACACAGCGAACTGCTTTCCCGATTCCCCACCCCCAAAGAAACTTGTATTTACTTAGCTGTGTCTAGTTTTTTTCCCAGTAGAATGTAAGTTCCCTGAAGGCAGGAGCAATTTTACCTTTTTCTTTCTATCCCCAGGTCCATATATCTTTGCTGAATTCAATTGAATTCTATAATGACTTTTTTGTTTTGCCCCCACTGGAACTGAGGACAGACAGGGACCGTTTCACTTTTAACTAATTCTGTCTGGCACATAAAAGGAGGTTAATAAATCCTTGTTGAGTGATCGAAATAGGGAACAGTTTAAAACTGTAACCAGAAGGGCTATGGGTAGACAGGGTAGAGAGCAGTAGTGAAAGCTCTTTCTCAGGCGACTTTAAAGAAAAGGGTCTTTCGGGGGTGGTAAAGCCACTCTACCTAGGGGAATGAGCAGCGAAATGAACCTTCCAGGACCCCCTTGGCCCTAGGAAGCTGTGTTCTTATTCACACTCCCCTCATCCCTTGGGAATTGATGATGTAGGGCTGATCCTTTCCAGTACAGAGAAGGGGGAAACTGAGGCACAGTACTGGCTCCTCCACCTTTCCTGAGGTCATGGGGTAAGTGAAGATGACAGCGAAAAGAACTTGAGATATGCCTGGGGTTTAATCCCCATCCCCACCTCTAGGGTCAAAACCCAGAGAGGAAGATGGTCACTAATACCTGGCCCTGAGCGAAAAGAGCAGTGACTTTGGAGTCAGAACATTTGGGTTCAAATCCTGGCTCTGCCTTAAACTTGTCTCGGGCAGGTTATTTCCCCTTTCTGAACTTCACTATCTGTTCAGTGTCAGGATCTTGAAGGTCCCTCTAGCTCTGAATGCTAGAGTCCTATAACCCTCTGACCCAAGTCTGTCCCAGGGTCCTCGGCCCCTTCCCATCCCTGGCTCCTCCCACCCAGTAGGGCAGGTTCCTGACCCCAGGAATATCCCTAGGCTGGCCTCCTAGGCTCCTCCCCTTAGCTTATCCTGGATTGCCCACCCAGCAGATCCCATCCTTCACCAACATTGCCCTTCCCCTCTCTACAGCTGTCACATCCACTTCATATGGCCACCATCTTGGTTCAGGTTCCCACTACTTCTCACCTAGACTACAGCCTCCTAATTAGCCTCCCTCCCTCCAGCCTCACCTCATTCCAATCCACTAACCGAAGTTGCCAAAGTGATTTCCCTTAAGCATCCACCTAATTATGTCCACCTCCCCACCAATAAATTCCTATTACTTCTTATTGCCTCTGTGAGCAGATACAAACTCCTCCATTTTGGCTTTTTAAAGTAGACCCCAACCTACTTTTCCAAGCTCACTGGAAAGTTTCCTCCCTCCCACAGTATTTTATATAGGCACTGTGGCCTCCTCTCCATCTCTCATCTCCATGGTTTTGTACTGGTGGCTTCTCATGCCTGGAATTCACTCCCTCTCTCTCTCTTCTCTCTCTCTCTTCTCTCTCTCTCTCCTTTCTTTCTCTCTCTTCTGTCTCTGTCTCTTCTCTCTCTCTTCTGTCTCTCTTTCTCTCTCTGTCTTTCCTTTCTCTCTCTCTTCTCTCTGTCTCTCCTTTCTCTCTCTCTCTGTCTCTCCTCTCTCCTGTCTCTCTTCTCTCTCTGTCTTCTCTCTTTCTCTTCTCTCTCTCTCCCTCTCTCTCTCTTTCTCTCTCTGTCTGTCTCTCTCCTCTCTCCTGTCTCTCTCTCTTCTCTCTGTCTTCTGTCTCTCTATCTTCTCTCTGTCTTCTCTCTGTCTTCTCTCTCTGTCTCTTCTCTCTCCTCTCTCTTCTGTCTCTCTCTTCTCTCTCCTCTCTCTCTTCTGTCTCTCTCTCTTCTCTCTCAGTCTTCTGTCTCTCTTTCTCTCCTCTCTCCTCTCTTCTGTCTCTGTCTCTCTTCTGTCTCTCTTTCTCTCTCTCCTCTCTCTCTTCTGTCTCTGTCTCTCCTCTCTCTCTTCTGTCTCTTCTCTCTCAGTCTTCTGTCTCTCTCTCTTTCTCTTCTCTCTCTCTCCTCTCTCTCTTCTGTCTCTGTCTCTCTTCTGTCTCTCTTTCTCTCTCTCCTCTCTTCTGTCTCTGTCTCTTCTCTCTCTCTTCTGTCTCTCTTTCTCTCTGTCTCTCCTTTCTCTCTTCTCTCTCTGTCTCTCCTTTCTCTCTCTCTCTGTCTCTCTCTGTGTGCGTCTCTCCTCTCTCCTGTCTCTCTCTCTTCTCTCTCTTCTGTCTCTCTCTTCTCTCTCTCTCTCTGTCTCTCTCTCCCTCTCTCTGTCTCTGTCTCTCTCCTCTCTCCTGTCTTTCTCTCTTCTCTCTGTCTTCTGTCTCTCTATCTTCTATCTTCTGTCTCTCTTCTCTGTCTCTCCTCTCTCTCTCTCTTTCTCTCTCTCCCTCCTTTCCTTCACGTAGAACTCTGGTTCCCACTGTCTTTCCTGATCCTCTGTGTCTTCTAGCCCAAAACTACCTTGTAATTAACCACCTGGGATTTATTCTCTAAATTTATCGTGATTACACATATGTGTGTTGATGATGTTGCCCCCAATGGACTGTGAGCTCCTTGATTTGTTTTCCATCCTGCTGGGCCCAGAGCCCAGAACACTGTCTCATTCACGGCTTGTTGGCCGATGGAGGGACTGAACGACGGCGGGTCTCAGTTCCTCTTCCTCCATCTCCCCTCTGGCCCAGGTTTCTACGTGACCCTTGTTGTATCCCGTTGGTGGAGTCAATACCAGAGCATCCCCTGGCCTGACCGGCTCATGAACCTGGTCTCAGCCAACGTGGAAGGCGAGGATGAGCAAGGCCGGCTGCTCCGCCGCACCCTGATGCGCTACGCCCACCTGTGCACCGTCCTCATCCTGCGCTCTGTCAGCACCGCGGTCTACAAGCGCTTCCCCAGCACCCAACACCTGGTGCAGGCTGGTGAGCGGGCAGGGCCGACAGGAAGGGGCACTGTGGGATACCCAGCCCCCACTGGCTCGGGCCTGGGTCCTGCCCCCATCTCTACAATAATAACAGCAAACGTTTATATGGCACTCTAAATTTTGCAAAGTGTTTTACAAATATTAGCCCATTTTATCCTCCCAACAACCCTTGAGAAGTAGGTTTTATTATTTATTTTATGAACTCTCCTCATTTACAGATGAGGAGCCTGAGGCAGAAAGAGGGTAAAGAACTTGACAGGGTCACACAGCTAGCAAGTGTCTGAGGCTAGATTTGAACTCGGGTCTTCCTGACTCCAGGCCCATTGATCTATCCTTACACTTTGTTGCTAGCTCAGGCTTTTTGGCTAGACTGGAACCCCAGCCAGAAGAGGTCATGAATCCCAAGGAGTACCTAGCTCTCCAAAAAAGACCCAGAGAGTGACTTGCCCAAAGCCACAGGGCAAGTCGGTGGTGGAGCCTAGACTATAGATCTCATGGGATTTCAGCTGAGCTAGGAAGACCCCAGAAATCTAGCACTCAGCCCAGTCCTCCTCACTGAGGCCCAAAGAGGAGGTATGACTTGTCCAAGGTCACCTAGCTGCTAAGACAGGATGAGAGGTGAAGTACCCTCCCTCCAAATCCGGGTCATGTTCTGTGTACTAACTCCTACCATCACCACCAGAGCTGGGACGGTAGCCTCCTTGACTTCACATCTCCTGGCTCTTTCTACCAATACATGCGGGCATGGGTCTGGGGGTATGGGGTATAGTGGAGGGAAGGAGTCAGGCAAAACAAAAACTGAGTGCTGACAAATGCCATCTAGCATTAGCCTTTCTACTCTGGGCCTGAGGGTCACTGAGAGGTCAGCAGCTTCACTCCTACTCTGGGAAGTCTGGCTAGTAACAATTTGGGTACATTTAGGAAGAGAATGACCTGTGCTTATAATACTCAGTTAGTCAACACCCACCCTCAGGGCGAATGGGTCCCTGCTCTGTAATTTATCATCTTAGAGAGCTGCCCGGGGTACTTAGAGGTTAAGGGACTTGAATCCTGGTCTTTCTGATTCTAAAGCTGAATATCTATCGACTATACCCACCACACTGCCTAGACAATAACCATCACAATAACAACAACCCATGTTTGAGGAGCTCTTGGAGGTTTACGAAGGGCTTTCCTTCTAACAGCCTATTCTAACATTAGGCAGAATACATATAACTAGTCCCCCTGAGGCTTAGAGATTTAGTATAGCATACAATCTCAGAGGTCACCTAGTCTAACCTCCTCAGCCCAAGAGAGTTAAATGACTTGCCCGGGTCACCTAGGTAAGCAAATGACAGGGCAAGGATTTGAACCCAGGTCTTCTGACACAAGGCAGCTAGGTGGTGTAGTGGATAGAGTGCTGGGCCTGGAGTCAGGAAGACTCATCTTCCTGGGTTCAAATCTGGCCTCTGACACTTAATAACTGTGTGACCTTGTGCAAGTCACTTTACCCTGCTTGCCTCGGTTTCCTCATCTATAAAATGAACTGGAGAAGGGAATGCCAAATCACTGCAGTAACTTTGCCAAGAAAACCCCGAGTGGGGTCAGGAAGAGTCAGTCATGACTGAAACAATCCAGCAACTTCTGACTCTAAATCTGGCAGTCTTCCCACCTAGCCTTTGATTGCCCCAACTCAACACAGAAAGGAGCTGATCCCTATTGAGCCATTCAGCTAGCCCTGGGGGGATCTGGGTTGTTTTGCCCTCATTTCTGTATCTCTCTCTGTCCCTCCTTCTGCCCCTTCCCATCCGCCCATCCCTGACGTTTTCTCTCCTGCTGTCCCCAGGCCTCATGACCCCTGAGGAGCACAAGAGATTTGAGAGCCTCAACTCTCCCCACAACAAATTCTGGGTTCCGTGTGTGTGGTTTGCCAACCTGGCTGCCAAAGCCCGAAGGGAGGGCCAGATCAGGGACAGCGTTGTTCTCCAGGGGATTCTGAACGTGAGCTCGGGAGTCCTTGGGGCTTAGGATGGGAGGAGGGTTGGGTGTCATCCCGTTAGTGGTAGATGAGTGTAAGAGGCAGCGTGAGATCTGTGGGGGCAGGCCCCTGGAAGACCACCTCGGGCTAGACTTGTTTCCTATCCACCCGCCACTACCTAAACCTCCGCCGAGTAGCACCACCGAGGCACCACATGGGACAGTGGCCCTGACTGGCACGCTGTCCCTGGGAGCAGAGAGGAGCTCTCATTTTCTTTGTTTACAAAGTTTTTCCAAAGTGTTTACAAACACTTTCCTCACAACAACCCTGTGAAATGGCTAGTCCAATGATGTGATCTTGATTTTACAGAATGGAGAAACTGAGGCTTAAAGGTTTCCAAAGGCATAAGGAAAAGGAAGCACATTAGAAACTGTTCTGGGTTTAGGGTCAAAGGACTCAAAAGATGCGTGGTGCAGTCGCTCTGACCTTGAACGAGGCACTTCCTCCCTGGGCTCAGTTTCTCTGACTGTAGAATGAGGAGGGCTAGACTAGACTTTGACGTTGTGTTCTGAGGTCATTTTTAGCTCTGAGATGGTAGTCCTCAGATCCCAGGGCTCTCCCTGTCACACCCCACTGTCTCTCTCTCTCGGCCACCTTGCCAGCAGCCACAAGAGATGGCCAGTTCCCAAACAAGCACGCTGAGTTGTAGTGAGGGTGGGAGGTGTGGGTCAGCAGGACTGAGGAGAGCTCACACATGATGGTGTCCTCCCTGTCCCCTTCTACTACTCTTCTCCAGGAACTGAACACCTTACGCTCCGAGTGCGGTGCCCTCTACGGCTATGACTGGATCAGTGTGCCTCTGGTCTACACACAGGTGAGCAAACCAGACCCAGGGGAGGGACAGGACGATGCAGGATTCCGGGAGGGACAGGGGCTCTGGGTGCTGCGCCAGCAGAGATGTCCCCTGAGGGGCTCAGTCTTCCTCTTGTCCTAGGCAGAGTGGGCAGGCGGTCCAGGGAAGCCTACAGACTCATGTTTTTAAAGGCATAAAAATAAAATACACGGGATTACAAAGGAAAACTATGATATTGAAATACAGTGATTTTTTTTGAAAGAAAATTTAAATTCATGGCCCCCAGTCAAGAGCCTCTGGAAAGAAGGTACCTTTCCAGAGCAAGAGGTCTGTGATCAGTGATGTTAGCAGCGCCTGTCACTTGTGTCTTACATGTTCCCCACGTGGGAGGGTGCAGGGAGACAGATTAATATAAGGGGGAACTTCCTGGGGATGCGATTTGCCTAAATGTGAACCTGGCCAGCCGTGAGCTCCTCACTACTGGAGGTCTTCGGGTGGACACTGGATGACCTCTTGTTGGGAATCCCTGGTGATAATCATTAACGCCTCTAGGGCTCATTGCATGTACGTGATCCTCACAACCCTGCGAAGCTGGAAGCTGATGTGTGCCCCATTTTGCAGGCAGAGAGAGTTCAGTGTGCCCTGGGGCCCCCACAGTCCACCTAGTGGCTTTAGAGAATATTCCTGTCCAGGCAGGGCTGGACCACACGGCCTGAGGACACTTGGAGCTCTGAGCTTCCCTCTCCGTCTTGTGGCTACATTATAATTCCATTTCCTCTGATAGAGAGAGGGAGAGACCCTGGCCTCTTTGGCCTAAAAGGGTCAAGCATGAAATTCTGACAAATCCTATAGTGTCCAAGGTTCTAAGGCTTCTTTCAGCCTTGATGTGCTGGGTTCTAAGGTCCCTCCCTTCCAGCTCTGCTTAGAAGCAGAGAATCCTAGAACCCTTGTTCCCTGAAGTGGGGAGGCTGAGCAGGAAGCTGGGGGGTCCCTGCACAAGGAGGACCTCTGGACTCTCAGCTTTCAGTTCTGAGGTTCTAGGCTGCCATGATCTTGAGATGCTGAGACCCTTAGGCCCAGCTCCATCAGCAGGCTGGGCTGGTGGAGAAGCCAGCACAATGCGGGGAGGCCGCCAGCCCTCCAATGTCTCCGCTTGTCTTGGAAGGGGGCATGGGAGGGAAGGAGCCCCTGCTTCAGTGAGGGGTGACTCACGGCCTTCTCCACCTTATAACCCAGGTGGTCACCGTCGCCGTCTATAGCTTCTTTCTGGCCTGTCTGATAGGGCGGCAGTTTCTGGATCCAGCCAAGTCCTACCCAGGCCACGAGCTAGACCTTTTCATACCTGTCTTCACTCTTCTCCAGTTCTTCTTCTATGCTGGCTGGTTAAAGGTGAGCCTTGGGGCCGTCCTGCGCCGATGGACACCATCCAGCTGTGCCAGTGGCCAGGAGCTGGGCAGTGGGGGGAGGGGACAGCGGGGGAGGGGGTAAGAGTGGGATCTGAGGTGGGGAGAAAGGAGAGGGAGGAACGGGGCCCTGGAAGAAAGAGGTGTTAAATGACCCCCACAATAGCGATTGCCAGAAGGAATGTTCTAGTCTCTTATGTCCTGTTCTATAAAATGACTGGATTGGACTAGACAGTTTCTGAGGGTCCTGCCATCCCAGCCATTCTCAGTTCTGTGTTCTAAGCTCCCTTCCAGCCCTGATATTCTGTGAGCTATGTTCTATGCTCAGATGTTCCTTTTTTTTTTCTTGGACGCAATCAGGGTTAAGTGAGTTGCCCAGGGTCACACAGCTAGTAAGTGTTTGAGGCTAGGATTGGAACTCAGGTCCTACTGAGTCCAGGGATGGTTGCTTTACCCACTGAGCCACCTAGCTTCTCCTTGACATTCTCTTTTTTTAAAGTCAGGATCCTCTCAGATCTGAAATTCTCCGTTCCAAGGTCCCTGCCAGTGATGAGGTTCTCTGTTCTAAGGCCCTCTCAGATATGATATTCTCTGTTCCAAGTTCTTGGGTTTCTTCCAGCTCTAATGTTCTATGTCCGCCTGATGTTTTCTGTTCTAAGACGCTCAAGGAGCTAGGCCTCAGAGGAGGATTTGGGGGGTGGAGGCCGAGCACCAAACTGAGATACTTGGAGGGGCTTGGGCCCAGGAAGGTGTCAGCGAGCGCTCGATACGGCAGACTCCTCCGAATGTGCCCCCGCCAGGCAGAGGCTGTGCCTGCCTGACACTAAGGACTCAGCTGCAGTTTTCCTGCAGGTCGGAGCCCGTCCTATCCATCCGCAAGGCTGAGGAAATGAGTTTTCCCAACCAGGTCCGCGCTCTCTCCTCTCTCCCTATACCAGGTGGCTGAGCAGCTCATTAACCCCTTTGGAGAGGACGACGATGACTTTGAGGCCAACTGGCTGATTGATCGGAACTTACAGGTACAGGAATGACAAGGTCAGCTCGTACGGAGCTGCTGTGGCGGGCCCTGCTTCATTCTGGGCACCAAGACAGAAAAAAAAAAAACCAACCACCTCGTGCTGGTCGGTGTGGACATAACGGAATTTAGATATGACGAAGTCCTCATCCCCTGGAGCTTCCAGTCCAACCCGGGACAAGACACCAATGCGACTTACAAAAATACCCGCCACGTGGCTGACTTCTAGTTTATCAAAATGTTCTCAGACACATTCACTTTTCTGCTCTCCCTAACAAGCCCGTGTCACCAGTCGGCTAAACACTAGCTAGCCTTCATAAAGCACGATGACCTTGTGAGGGAGGGGCTATAACTATCCAAATTTTACAGATGAGGAAACTGAGGCAGGTGACTTGCCCAGGGTCACACAGCTAGCAGGTGTCTGAAGTTGTATTTGAAATCAGGGCTTCCTGACCCCAAGTCCTGCCACCCAGCCCCTTTTAAAAGCATTTATTAAGCACTACTAGTGAGTCAGGGGAATTTAGTGAGTGTGGGGATGATGAGGTCAGACCTAAACGGGTTGACTAGCAGTCAGTCGACTAACAGTTGTTAATCAAGTAGTATCTGCCTGGCACTGTGCTAAGAGTCCAGGAGGCTTGGATTTACAAACAAAAAGCCTGAGGCTCATACCTGCACAAACAACCCTAAACCGGGAAAGCCAGACCTCTTCTCTCGGGACCTCCCACTTCACACACATTCCATTCATTCATTTCCATATCCAGCACACTTTGACTGAACAGCTGCTGTGTGCCCGGCCCTGTGCCTCCAGCCCAGGATGCTACGACTTTTAACTAGGGTGTGACTCTCTGCCCTCAGGGAGCTTATACTCTAACAAGCCCCAAAGGGATGTTGATATATATTCCACACTAGAGGCTTTAATGCAGGAGAACAGACCTGTGGGAGAGGTCTGAGCATATCACTGATGGGGAAATGAGGAAAACCCGGCGGGGGGGCTGGCATTTGAGGTGGGTATTTAAAGGATGGCAAAAGCGGGAGGGAGGCCATTCCAGATCTAGGTAACAGTGTCAGCCAAGGGCTGGGGGCCAGAGAACACCAGATGGGGGGGTGCAGTGGAGAGTAGCCAGGCTGGCTAAAGTATGGATGAAGTTGGCTTTCCCCACGGCAGCCTGCCCTTCCTTCATTAGGTTCATTCACTGTCATTGAACTTCAGCCAGATTCACACAGAGGGGAAGAAAAGGAGGGGATGATTGGTCCCGAGAGCTGCGCTTCAAGGGACGGCCTGGGGCTCCCCAGGGCAGTCCCTTTCCTCTTTCTCTCTCCTTCTCCCCCTGCCCACCCATAGGTATCTCTTCTGGCTGTGGATGACATGCACCAAGACCTGCCCGTCCTGGAAAAGGACATGTACTGGAACGACCCAGACCCCCAGCCGCCCTATACGGCCGCGGCTGCCGAGTCCAGGCGGGCCTCCTTCCTGGGCTCCACCTTCGACATCAGGTGAGCCCCCTGCCTCGGGATAGCCCTCCCCTACCCCACCCCCAGTGGTGGGGAGATGGAGGGAGGAGTGGATGGACGCCAAGGCCTTTCATCTGCTGGAAAATCCCATGAGGCTTAGAGGGAAGTGGTTTCTAAGGAGGTAGATTGATCTGATAGGACATCCTGGAGCAGAGAGGCCTGAAGGACATGAACACGAGACACTCGCTGTCTCTCCTCATCAGAGAGAAGCCCGGGTAACTCATGGCTGACTCTTCCTGGCTGGGTGACCCCAGGCACCTTACTTGGACCTCCAAGACACCATTCTCTCTCTCTCTGTCTCTGTCTCTGACTCTCCCTCTCTCTCTTTGTCTCTCTATCTCTGTCTCTGTCTCTCTGTCTCTCCCTCTCTCTCTGTCTCTCTCTGTCTGTCTCTCTCTCTGTCTCTCTGTCTCTGACTCTCTTTCTCCCTCCCTCTCTTTCTGTCTCTCTGTCTCTCTCTGTCTCTGTGTCTCTATCTCTGTCTCTCCCTCCCTCTCTCTCCCTCCCTCCCTCCCTCTCTCTCTATCTCTGTCTCTCTCTCCCCCCCTTCTCTCACACCTCCTTTCTCTCTCTGTCTCTGTCTCTGTCTCTCTGTCTCTGACTCTCTCTCTCCCTCCCTCTCTTTGTCTCTCTGTCTCCGTCTCTGTCTCTCCCTCCCTGCCTCTCTCTCTCTCTCTCCCTCTCTCTCTCTCTCTCTCTCTCTCCCCCTTCTCTCATGCCTCCTTTCTCTCTCTGTCTCTGTCTCTGTCTCTCTGTCTCTGACTCTCTCTCTCCCTCCCTCTCTTTGTCTTTCTGTCTCCGTCTCTGTCTCTCCCTCCCTGCCTCCCTCTCTCTCTCTCTCTCTCCTCTCTCTCTCTCTCTCTCTCTCTCTCTCTCTCTCTCTCTCTCTCTCTCTCTCTCTCTCTCTCTCCTCTCCCTCCCTCCTCCCTCCCTCCCTCCTCCTCTCTCTCTCTCTCTCTCTCTCTCTCTCTCTCTCTCTCTCTCTCTCTCTCTCTCTCTCTCTCTCTCTCTCATATTATGTGACCTTTATTCTATGGCACATCTGGTCTTTTGGACATCCCAACAAGCATACAGAATAATAATAAACACCAAACCCAACGGTTCCAAATGACACCAGAGTCTTAACCCACAGTCACATCTCCTAAAAATATGGCACTGCAGTGACAACATTATGAGAAGAAATTAATAGCAAAAAGTAAAGAGTGGGGCTAAAAGTTCTCTAGGATTCCAGCCAGCTCTAGGGAACCCCTAGCAGGCTCAGGGGCTCTCCAGCCAGGCTCCGGAAATGAAGCCCTCCTCCATCTTAGTCTGGTTTTCCAGTTACAGTCACAAAGGATTGAATCATAAATTGAGACCTGGGAGGACCTTTAGGGGTCATCTGATCCAACCCCACCATTTTGCAGATGAGGAAACTGAGGCCCAGAGAATGAAGGTGGCCAGCCCAAGGTCCCATCTGGGAAGGAAGCCACAGAATTAGGATTTAAGCCCAAATCCTCTGATTTCTAAATCGGGGGCTCTTCTTCCCTCCGCCCTAAGATGCCTCCTCCGCCAGCTCCCATTTCCTTGAGTAATGCATTGCTTTGGGGAAGGCTTGAGTCACCCCATCACTGGCCGCATCGATCCCATATAGAACCGCGGAATGTTAGAGGCAGAAGGGACTCAGGAGAGCAGTTCTGCAATGGCGACCATTGCGGGTGGTGGAGTGTTGCCTGGGTGTTGGGGGTCCCCTAGTGGTATGATTTGAGAAGTGCCAGGAAGGAGTCAAAGCAAGTTCCCCATTCAGATGCCCCAAAATCTGAAATCCTACCATTTGCAATTTCAGGAAATCATGAGATTTAGGGCTGCGAGTCTTAGAATCATAGAATTTAGAGCTGGAAGGGAATGCAGATACCTTATCAAATGAGAAAGCCATCGAATTATCTACTGGCATTTATATGGTGCTTTAGGTTTACAAAGCGCTGTGCAAATATTATGCCATTTATCCAAGCAACAACCTGGGGACATAGATGCTGTTCTATTCCCATTTTACATGTGAGGAAACTGAGGCAGGCCGAAGTGAAGTGACATGTCCAATATCACACAAGTAGTGACTCTCAGAGGGGGGATTTCTATTTGCCAAAAAGTAACTAGCACACATGACCTAACTAGCAAAGTGGTAGGATTCTAACTCAAGTCCTCTGACTGCATCTGGTGCTCTCTCTATTAGACCACAATGCCTTAAGCCTCCAAGACTCTGATCTCTTCCACTTTGACCTTGGGCAAGGTCATTTTGCCCCCATAGGCCTCAGTTTCCTCACTGAGTCTTTTTTTCATCTGTAAATTGGAGCGATGACACTTAGTTACATGAATGGGGTGGTAAGGACCAATAAAGATAACGAACGGAAGGCGTTTTGTAAATAATGTGAGTTATTATTGTAGAAGTGTAATGGACAAGAACTGGCTCTTTTTGTGCTGATCAGCGCCTTCTGCAGGCTGGAGGCTGAGCAAAGGTTCGCTTTGAGGGATAGATGTGGCTGGGAGAAGTGGGTCCTGACCCAGGCTCAGGAGGTGGGGATTTTACCTCTTCCCAGCATGCAGAAGGAAGAGATGGAATTTCAGCCCCTGGAGCAAATTAAAGAGAATGAAGAAGCCAGCCACTCCACTCCACTGATGGGCCCCTTCAGCCGTCTCCTGGGGGTGCAGCCACCCGGCTTCACCAGGTCTGCCTCCAGAATGAACCTGCTGCGGAGGAGGGATTACCCATACCAGGATGTGGGCAAGCCCAGAAGTGCCTGGACCTCAATGGGCGATTCCTCTGCACAGGCTGGTTCCAGCTTGAGGGAACAGTGGGAGAGTGAAGATTCTAAGCTTTGGGAGCTGGACGCCTTCATATCCACCCCCTTCTACGAGAGGCCCGGCTTCTACAGTGCCCCCCAGACGCCCATCAGCTCCTTCCCTCTGGTTTTCCCCCTGAGGCGTCCACCAGGCAGAAGAGGCGCTGCTCTCTCCAGCATCCAGACCGCCTCATCCTTCACCAAGGACAATCGTGCCAATTTCTGCCCATCGCAGGCCAGCGACATGGATGCGAGCCAAAACTCTGTGACTTCCAGCATGAGGGAAGGTTTCATCTGGCCTACAGAGAGAGGCAAAACTCCCGATGCCTCCTTGGTGGCCACCCTGGAGGACCACCTGCCCAGGAAAAACGAGGAACTTAGTGCCCCAGGGACCCCCGAGGCCCAGACCACAGCTTTAGAGAGCCCCAACGTCCTCTTTCAGGCTGCATCTCCTGACGTGGAGAAGACGGACAACTTTAGGAGACCCAGAAGCCCCTGGCAGCCCTGGCTGGCCCTGGAGAACACATCTCTGCTCTGTTCAGAGTCACTCCCTGCAGCAGTGGGCAGCCCCAGTGACGACCCTTCCCTGCCCAGCTCCATCCCTCAGGCACCTCCATTGTTCCCTCAAGTCAGGCACAACAAAGCTGCTATGCCCGGCTCGGATGACAATGGACCCAGCACCCTTGGCCAGGTCTCCATGGAAACGCCTGGGCCTCCAAAAGATATGGGGACTGTAAGTGTTGTCCTTTTCGCCACAGAGCACAGGGTAGCTGCTGAGCATCCTTTCCCCAAAGACCCGGGCATCTCCCTAGCAGAGGGAGACTTGGTGGGACTGATAGAGGCAATCCTGGAAAGAAGCGAGTTACCTAACTGGGGGAAGTGGGCAGGTTCAGTTAACCAGTGACCCGGGGCCTCTTAACTCAGGGGTGAGGGGCTGAGACTTCCCTACACAGTTCCTTCTATTCCGTTACAGAGCAGACCCATGGCCCAGCTGAACTAGACAGCAGAGGAGAAAGCCAGTTAGAGGAGAAAGGAAGGAAGGAGGGAGGGGGAGGGGGGAGGAAGGAAGGAGAAGGAAGGAAGGAAGGAAGGAAGGAAGGAAGGAAGGAAGGAAGGAAGGAAGGAAGGAAGGAAGGAAGGAAGGAAGGAAAAAAGAAAGAAAAGAGGGGAAGGAGGGAGGGAAAAGGGATGAAGGGAAAGAAGGGAAGGAAGGCAGGAAAGAAGAGGGATGAGAAAGGAGGAAGGGAGGAAACAAAGAGGAAGGGAAGGAAGGGAAAGGAAAAAGGCAAAAAGAAAGAAAAAAAAAGAAAGGAAGGAAGGAAGGGCACCATGACTGCTTCAGTTACTCCCACTTGCTCACTAAAGGGGCAGTGTAGGACCAGCAAAGGTAGAGGACACAGCACAGCCTGCTTCTTTATCATTCCTTCTCTCCCACAGGCTGAGTACTGTTCAGGAGGACAGTTAGCCGCCACCTCCCCAGCAGCCTGTCCTGTCAAGCTTCTCCCTTCTTACGGCAGTCAGCTGTTTCTTTCAAACACAAAAGACTCAAAATATCCTGAACCCTCAAGCTCTCAGCCCACATGCTAAAAGAAAAAAGAAGAAACAAAGCGATGTGGTCCAGAGTGGTGACTCCCACTTTCACATTCACTTAGCCTTCCGGTGGGAGGGGTGGGGTGGGGGTGGGGGGTGACCAGGCCTAAGGCTGAGTGGGGTGGGGGTGGGGGTGACCAGGCCTAAGGCTGAGCAGTCGCAGTCCAAGCTCTTGCACTGCAGATGACACTCTCCTCCGAACACTAACAGCTTGGGAGGAGCTCACGATTCCCCTGCATTTCAAGGGGCACTCTCCCAGGCTGTGCGTAGGATTTTGGTGAAATCCCTAGCCTAGAGAGTAGATAGGATTAAGAACCGCTGGGATTTCGGGACTCTGTGAAACCACCAGCACCCTGCAGAATCGGGGCAGTGGCCTCATGGAGACTAACCCTAACCCCAATTCTGTCAAGCAACTCTTTCCCTAGCCTAGCCTGAGGTCCCACCTGCCAAGACCATTCCTGGGTTCAAGGAGCGGGACTCTACCGCCGCCCCCTGCACTGGCCAGGCCCCTTATCTAACCGGCAAACAGGTACAGCTGAACAGAGCCGGACTAGAAGCCAGTCCCAGTGTTCACAGCTCTGTCTAGCTTCTCTTGAAAAGAGGGGAGGGCCTCTACAGCACGAACAAAGGGCTCCCTGTCTCACGCCAACTAAACGCATGCGCAAGTCTCACTAAAATTTAGGGCGGATCCTGGGTGACAAATTTCAAGTCCATTGGGACTGTTTACTCTTTAGGGGAACTCCGCCTTCTTCCTTGGACTAGGGGTACTTAAGGGGCATACATCACGCCTCCCCAACCCAGAGGTCTGGTCAGCTCCGGTCCTGGAAACCTTCGGGGGCCCATTAGCCCCACGCCTGAAGTGGCCACCACAAGGCTCCTCTCCCGGTCTGAGGGTCGGGGAGCAGTTTTATCCCTCACCCAGGCCCGCTTAAATCAACCCAAATCATCTCTCTACTGACGCCTCTAGCCCTAGCTGACTAGCTTCTAAAGCTTGTGTAACAAATAACACGGTGCACTGCCTCCCAAAATAAAAACTCGGCACAGTGATTTTCATCAGTACCAAGTCACTTTATTGGGATGTAAATGGTGGTCGTTTTTTGGTACAGATTATGAAAAGGTCAGATAACCAAAATATGCATGCACTGAAAGACAGTAGGAGTCACGCCCACAGTTCCCAAGTGTGGGGGAAGCCGCGTGTGGCTTAGCTCTCGTTGTCACTGTCTCCAAGGGTGTGCTTGTCAAAAAGATATTCCGCCATGCCAGAATCGGGGGCCCCCATTTTGCGCAGGTTGGTTACGTGATCACCCAGTTGTTTGATGGACTTCACCTGTTCGTCCAGGTAGTGGGTTTCGATGAAATCACATAACTGAAAGCGAAGGAAGGCAGGGCTGTCGGTCATTCAGGGAGCAGCTGCTACCTAAGGACCCACCCACTTGTGGCAGGCACACCCAGAGGGGGAGGGGCCCGGCTACTCACATGGGGGTCGTTCTTGTCAGTTGCCAGCTTGTGCAATTCCAGTAAAGACTGATTGACATTTTTTTCCAAGTGCAGAGCACACTCCATTGCGTTCAGCCCACTCTCCCAGTCATCTCGGTCCGGTTTCTGTTGACACCGAGGTCGGCCTGTGAGCCAGCGCTCGCCCCCGGGAGCCCCCACCCACCCGCGGAGCTCCTGCCGGGCCCCTGCTCACCTTGATGTCTTGCAGGAAGATCCGACCGCCTCGCTGGTTTTGCAGTTTCATCAGCTTCTCAGCATGCTCCCTCTCCTCGTGGGACTGGTGTAGGAAATATTTGGCAAAGTTCTTCAAAGCCACATCATCTCGGTCGAAGTAGTAAGACTGAAAAGACAGCAAAACCTGGATTATTCTCTGAGCCCTGCTGAACCAAAAACAAAGGACCCCCAAGAGGCTAATTACGGGGTCACCTAGCGTCACTTCAAGTACCATCTGGGGCAAATAACTGCCACTGTCAGACCCCCGCTCTGCTCCTAGGGTCCCGGCGCCCAAGGGCTCCGCCTGGCCGGGCTGCGGTGTCTGCACTTCCTGGGCTTCGACATATCTGAGCTACAGAACAGCCATCTCTGACGAGATTCTCCTCCCGGGCTCCTTGGGCTTTCCACATGTCCATTCATTAAGGGGGGCCTGCCCTTGCAAGACCCCACGAGGTGGGGGGGGGTTGCGTTCGAAAGCGGCTCAAGGTCAAACTGGGCACCAGGCTGCCGCCCCCCCCCCCCCCGACATCCAGCGTGTAAAGACCAGAGAGGATCCGGTATGGGGAGGGGCCGCCTCCGCCATTCTCCCAGCCCGGGCTCCGCCCTTGGCCGCATGGCCCCAGCTGGCCCCCCCGCCGCGGGCGGGGCTTTGCGCAGCCGCCACTGCGCAGGCGCAGACTCCCCCGCCCCGGCCCGCGGTGATGGCCGGGAGGGGGGAGGGGAGCGGGGAGCGGAGCGGGAGGAAGGGGAGGGGCGCCCCCGCCCCCCCCTCCCCGGGGCCCGTCCTCACCATGGACAGGTAGACGTAGGAGGCGTACAGCTCCAGGTTGATCTGCCGGTTGATGGCGGCCTCCGAGTCCTGGTGGTAGTTCTGTCGCACCTGAGAGGGGGACGAGGTCGTCATGGCGGCGGAGATGGCGGAGGCGGCGAAGAGAAGAAGGAGAAGGAGGAGGAGGAGGCGGGAGGAGGCGGCTGCGCAGCGGCTACGGCTGAGGCTGGGGCGGCGGCGGCGGCGGCGACGGCCGGGGGCGGCTGAGGCGGGCGGCTGCTGCTCGAACGGGAGGACGGAAGAAGTGTTGGTTAGTGGAGGTGAAGGTGGACAGGTGGCTAAGGGCGGCTCCGGCCGGGAATCGAGCAGCGGGTTCCGTTCAAGCACTGTTGAAGCAGGAAACCGCAGCGACTCCCCTTCCCTGCGCTTCTGGCGACTCGGGGGCGCCCGCGCGCGCCTTTTATGGCCGCGCCGAGGCCCCGCCCCGCGTCGCGTCAGCCCCCGCCAATGGCTGCGCGGGGGGTGCGCGGGGGGGCGGGCCTTGGCATCACGAGACCCGCCGCCTCCGCCCTTCGCTGCCCGCTCCCCCTCGCAGCCCCCTCCGTCTGAGTCTGCGCTCTGGAGACGGGGGGGGTGGCTCTTCTCGTCCCCTGGGGGGAGGCGAGCGGAGGCTCGAGTCTCCCGCTGTTCCCAACACCGCGCTCTCCCCCCTCCCCTGCCCACGGCCAGCCATGCATTCTGTCTTGGGGTGGGGGGACGCTGTGGATGGGGAGGGGGGGTTTTGAGAGCGCCTCGGCTGGACCCACGCGCCCCTTTGTCTAAGATGACTTTCTTTTCCCCGTTTTTTGGAGGGGACTGTATTTGGCATAGGGACCCCTCCCCCGGGAGTGAAGAGAAAACTGGGGAGGGGGTTTCAGCGCCGCCTCTGTAGCGAGGCCTCCCCCTCCCAGCCCTGCAGCAGCAGAGATGGACCCTGGTGGCCCCCCGCTGGAGGGCTGGGACCTCCAGAATCTGAGCCCTGAGTCGGGGTCCGAGCCCTGGAGAGAGCGCGGGGTGCGGAGCCCCCCTCCCATCCCTTGTGAAATGAGGGCGTTGGACCAGCGGGTCTCCGACCTTCCAACCCTGGATGTCTGATTTCCAAGCCCCCCCCCCACATTTTACAGATGGGGAAACTGAGGCCCCCAGAAATGAACTACCTTGCCCAAGGTCATCCAAGTCAATCAACAACCAGATAATCTGGGCGCCGCTTTCGATGTCCGCACAAAGACCAGGGGGAAAAAAATTAAACAGTCCTCTCTCTGCGAGAGCTCAAAGAGCTGGGAGTGGGGTGGGGGACAAAGACAAAAGTGACCTCTGTCCCCAAGGAAAGACTGAGAGTCTGTAGAGATCCGTGTGTACCTGGTGGTTCGGGGGAGGCCAACGGGGCGATGCTGGGGAGGGGATGGAGAAAGACTGCAGGGGGACCAGGGAGGGAGGGGTTCTTCACCTTTGTTGTGTCCTGGACCCTTTTGGCAGTCTGGGAAAGAAGGTGGGACCCTTTTTCAGGAGTCTGCTATTTTCAAAGGCATAATATACACGAGATTACGACAAAGGAAACCAATTCCATTGAAATGCAGTGACCAGAATACATTTTTAAAGGATGACTTTGGACCCCAGGTTGCAGACACCTGGAGTTGGCGCAGGGAAACTGCTACAAGATGATGGGGAGGGGGGCACCCATGGCCCGACCTGGACCGAGCTTTCAATGCACTTGGCCAGCTCTTTCCACCAGCTCAGAGGCGGCAGCCCGCCCTGCCCTGCAGGGTCCGAGTCAGAGGAGGGGCTTCCGGCTCTGCCTCAGCCAGGCAGATCCCTTAACCTTTCCAAGTCCGCTTCAGCCTGTAAAAATGAGAGGCTCAGACAAGATGGCCTCTGAGCCTTTTCTGGTTCTGAGTCCAGGGTCTACCCTAGTGAAATTCCAAAAACTGGCATGCAGCCCTCGGTATTGCAATGGGCCCTGGAACCCAGGGCAAGAGGAAATAGGGTGCAGTGGACGGAGCCTGGGTGACCTGCCAAGCCGCATGGCATCGGACAAAATCATGTTCGTGCTGAGCTTCAATCCCCCCCTCCCCCGTCACTCTGTAAAATAAGCCCCTTCCCACTTTGACTTGTGAGTCTCATGGTCACTTGCAGTTGGATGCCTGTGGCTTTGTGGGGATGGGAGCCAAGAGGGCAGAGGCCAGCCCTGTGCTATCATCTCCCGCCTTGCCTGATGGTCCCCAGACTTTGGCTCCCCGTGCCAGGAGGTGGGAGGGTGGATTCTTACAATCCGTACTGGCGCCCGCAGGCCCTTGGCACTGGGCATGTTTTTAAGAACAGAAGACAACAATCATTATCGGCAGACTCCTGGATGCACCCCAGGTGAGGTCATCGAGTGGTTTGCCAAACCCAGGGGCAGAAACTTGGGATCTCAGTTTGTATGGGTCCTCCAAAGTAGGCGAGCAAATGACCAGAGCCTTGCAGCCCTCCTGCTTCTTAATAAGGGCTGGTTGTAGGATTTCGGAGCTGTCGGCAGCCCCC